CCTATTAATACCTTATTGATAACCAATTTGATAAAAATACCAATAGGATACTAATAGGTTATCAATAAGTTATTAATTGGCTAACAATCAGCCTGCCCGATTGGTGACAGATTATGGCGCAAGTTCAATAGGCTACCAATAGGGTAGCCTATTGATAGCCGATTGATAACCTATTGATAACCTATTGATACCCTATTTAACTAATTTCGACCTGTGATGATGAGAGACGAAAAGAAGGATGAAAAGAAATGATGGGAAGATGAAGAAGAGTAATAGGAGACGAAAAGAAATGATCGAAGATGAAAAGAAATGATGGGAAGATGAAGAGAAGGTGAAAAAAAAAGAAAGAAAAAAGAAAGCGTAAAAAGGGTGGAGTGGGTGAAGGGAAAGTGTGAAAGAGACGGGTGAGAAGGGAAGGAAAAAGAAGGTTAGAAGAGTATAAATGGGGATGGGCGAAGGAAATGGTTAATTAAACTATAAAAAAAAAGTTTAAAAAAATAAACTTATCATCGCGTCTTAGTAGTTTAACTAACGGAAAGTCATGTCACATAATATAATACATGTGATTGTTAAATAATCTCGTAACTTAATTATAATATCTATCATGTTACATAACGCAAATCTATACAGGATTGATTAACATTAAATAACTTACAGAAATTTATTGATAAAATCTTTTAACACTTAATATCATTATTTATTTTTCAGATTATTGTCAATAAATATCATTAATGTTAAATATCTTATAGAAATTCATCGATAAAATTTTTAACACTTAATATCATTAAATATCTTTCAGATAATTATCAATAAATATCATTAATGTTAAATATCATTATATTTTTCCAGTTGTTTATTGATGATCATCATAATACATTAATTATCGATTTATTTAGTACGATAAAATGTGATAATTATCAATAAAGTGATAATTATCGATATTTATCCTCCAAAAAAATTTCCCGATGTATCTCGTATGTTTATTTACTTTCATCATATTTTCGTAATAATGATAGTATACTTATAAAGTTGCGGTTGTAATGTCACAACATGTTACAACATTGTATAATGCTGCAGTAGTAGAACCAATGTATCTTATTTTGACTTATTATATGAATTATAAAGCGAATAAAATTTAAATTAAATCTTCCATATGGTTACTTTGCGTTAAATGCTAAATCTGAAAGATTTTCATAATTTCCGTTGCCCAAAATTGTGTTTGTAATACCAAATATCACCAGATAAGTTGAGTAAACATCTACATTTACGAAACTTATATTATTCAACAAAAAGTAGATGCAAAAAAACCCATTCCACCAATAAAAACCCATTTCTCACCTGCATAGTAATTTTATACAGTCACAATCATAGCTATGAGGAAGTATTTTAAAATTCAATGAAGATTTTTTTTTATATTAATTTTTATATAATTATCTATTTTTTATATTTTTCAAGTCATATAAACTAATTCACATTTATTTTATTGTACACATTATAGAATAATTATAAAACATATATACTTTCAATTACTTAAAAGAAGTATTTATCAGCAAAACCAAATAAAGATTTTTTTAATGTTCGTCCCCAATCTAATTACGCCTTATGTAATGTTTTGTGTATCAAAATTAACAGGGCAATTAAATCCGCCGATATTCCTTATTATAATATGAATATGGAATTTAATCAATATGTTTTTGGTTTCTAAATAGAAAGTTTTGTTATTTACCGCAGAAATTATTAATACGGGCGCACGCCCGCGCACGGAACGCACCGTTATACATAAATATTGATCTCATTTGATCACAAATATTTACGGTGATTAAAATATTAGCTAATATATGTCACTGCCCTTATTTTTTTATATTATAGAAATTACTAAATTAAGTAAAGCCTGTGTTAGTCCTTGTATCTGTCACATCTACTTTCTTTTTATGTAACACCTTAACTTTTGATTATGATGAGACTAAAAAAAGGTTAATAATAATTTCTTTGATTTCAATTTGTAATATTTATTTTGATTATTTTTTGCTTGAAAATGAAACGCTATTGATGGAACAGTCTAAGACAATTTAGGGAAATTGAAAAAAGTGAATTAGAGGATAGTGAAAGTGGTAGCCATAATGGTTAGAACTTAGAATTCTCACATTCAAACCGTACTATTCTGGGAATTTATTTTAAATGTGAACTTTTTTTGAGTTATCAAAATGAAATTAATAACTGCTAATTGTTTTTATATTATTGAAACTAACCCTACTAATTGTCCGGAGCGAAGCGAAGGACTATATATGTTTTCGAAGGATGTCAAATAGTGTCACGTGACGATATCCGGTTGTCCGCACGCGTCACGTCATTGAAATTTCGTGCTACAGTACATCAGATGAAAATAATTTGTGATACATCAAGATAAACAAGATAAAGGTTTATTTATAACCTTTTTTTCGCTCCGGACTTACAACGGTTTCCGTTTCCTAGTTAATCATATTTCTTTTTGTTGATTTTCCAACGTTAAATTTTATAGAAGCTATTTTTTTTTATAGGCAAATGATGAAAGAATTAATGCAAATCTTTGGTGACAGTGTACCTAAAATCATCAACCTGCTCTAACATTTTACCGGCTTCATTGCATATTGGAATTTTGCACGATCTTTATATTTAATAATATTAAGCATTAAATCTTGTTGGATAAACGTAAGTATCGCCGATACATATATTTCAATGTTTTATTACATCTTATGAATTATGATGAATGTGAATGGAATTGTTCAATATAATTCCTAGGGGAGGTCATGATATTTTTGTTAAGTGATCATAATTACGTCATACCAAGAGACAACTAAATCCATTACATAATGATGCAGCCAACAACTTATTAGGAAATGAAAGACAATACACGTTTATACAATAAGTGTTTTTATTATATCAGGTATAGACTCTCACGATTACACTATTTAACGCTTGGCTTTTGAATGTCAAGCTCCGATTATCGGTTCTTACCGGATCCGTCGGTTTTATATATATAAAAAAAACGATAAAAAAACCGAAAAAAAATGTTTCTTTTTATTGAGAATACATTAAAATTATGTACTGCATGTATAGTATTCTCATTATTGAATTATCGGCAAAATTTAATTTTACGTATTGATCACGTGATTTCGATTCGCCGATGATGATTGTAAAAAAAAAATCATTTAAATTGAAGAATATTATTAAGTAAAATTATAATTAGTATTTTCTAACATTATTTTATTCAGGTTTGAACCGACTATTGGTATCACAACTAATTGATGAGAAATTAAAAGGGAACCGAGTGTGATTGTATGGAGTTGATTTTTGAAGGTTTCAAGTAAAACCTACATGTATCCCAATATTTGCAAGATCGGATCAAACTTATTGTCGATCTTTGTATTAATATTTTAATTTGTTAGAACTGTTATGACTTAACATTTTAAAAATTTCTGCATTTTGTATTTTTGAATTTTGGAATGTATTATTAACAAATGTGTATTGTATACAAAAGTTAATTTTAACTTTAAAGTTTTAACAAACTAAATTTTTTGCAAGATCATTTCAAAATAAATCAATATTTCACACGTTGTTACGTAGAATTCTCGCAAACATTTCTTAAATAATCGTATTCCCATAGAAGGTTTCTAGAAATTGTGTATAAAATTCAAAAAAAATTCCTTTCTTTAATTATTAAATTTCAAAACGTATATATTAGATAGCAGCTTTCCTTCACTCAAATTAAAAATAATCATGGAACAACCAATAAACTATAAACCATTGTTAAATCAAAATACAAAAAAGTGAATGTACCAAATGTAAGAACCATTAGATGAAAGTCATCAGACTTGTCACGTTTGTTACAAAGTAAAGATGACATATAAGTACTCAAGTGGAGACGATTTTATTATATATACACAAGTTAATCTTGTTAATCGTAATGGAAACATGGAATATGTCCCTTATGATCAATTCATAAATATAGAATTTATTGCTAAAGGAGGTTTTAGTAAAATTTATAAAGGTACTTGGACTGATAGCCCGGTTGATAATTATAGCAGAAAATATTCTCGCGTCCAAAATAAAGTTCTAAAAACAAAACATTACATTTAAGGAGCTGAACGAGGTACATCATAGTATATTAATTTAATTATCATAAACGAGATAAATAAATTAATACAGTAATAAGCTTTCTTCATTTTAGTTCAAGGTATTTATTTATGGCTTTTCTTCAGAATCTTTTAAAAAAAAATGATATCTAACATTTTGGAATCGATATCATGATTATCATGCCATATTATGATTCAGGTGATTTGATACATTACATCACTATAAAATTAACTGGGTACATAGCACGTGGACTTAAACAAATACATAAATTAAATATTATTCACAGAGATTTTCACAGGCAGGACGACTCTCGCGAGGGTTAGGTTTATACTAGTATCGGTGTAGTGTAATTAGCTTCTTTTGTAAGGGCTCTGATCCCGGATTTGTATTGCTCCCGTCGTTATCTCTATTTTAAAAATAAAAATAAAAATAAAATTTTCACAGTACGCAATAAATTTTTAGCCAAGAAATACTAATAATTGATCTTGGTATAAGTAAATCTGCAACTGAATCTGGAGATGATAATGAGAATTATGGTATTCAGTTATTCCTTACTATATGGCTCCAGAGATTTTTCAAAGTCAAAAATATAATAAAACTTCAAATATATATAGTTTTGGAATGATTATGTGGGAGTTAATGACAGGTGGAAGTCCTTTTTGGGATTGAAATCATGATACAGAACTTATTATCGATATTCGTGATGGAATGCACCTAAAGGTTATATTGAATTAATGAAAGAATACTGTCATGTATGTCCCTCCTTTTTTCTTTTATCATTATGCAGGAACAAATAAAATTCTTTTTCTTTTTCCCTTTTTGTTTCATTCAATATAATACTCATTAGATTCGTCTTGATGAGACGATTCGAATGAGCTATTGTGCACTCTGTACGACCTCTAGATGCCCAACTGAAGTAAAAGACCGCAGGCTACTGATATATATGATAGAACTGATAACAATTTATTGGGAGTAAAGGCGTAATAGAATTAACAATCCAAATTAAATTATAAAATCATCGAATATTGAAACTGTAAAAATAAATAATCCAGGTATAAGAGTAGACCTTTAAGCACCATGATTAATTCTGTAATGTCTTCAAGGAGTTTGAGAAGTCAATCTATTAATTTAGAAAAATTAAAAAGAAGGTTTGAGGATGATTTGATTGAAGGTAATAATGATTATGGTATGATATTTGTTTACTAATTAAAAAAATATATTTAGGTCCAAGTATTAAAGGAGAAAATTTGTGTGGATTAGCTTTTAAATTTCGTACCTTTTGTTCAAGAGGAAATTGTTCAGGTCATTCATTTGAAATCAAACCTTCAATAAATTTCGAATTCTTCTTGACGTAGTTTTTCACGAAGAAAAAGTGAAACAACTTTCGAAAAAAGTTCTTCGTTAGTGTTAGCTATGTGTTTGTATCTTTCATCTAATAAATAAGCTAATATAAATATAAGAAACCCGATTTCCCAGATTGATTTGATCTTTTTGTTGGATCAAATTGACACAAAGAGTTCAGAATGTTTGTAAAATTCGGAATTTTAAAAAATAAAGTCATGGTTATTTTACCTAATATTTCAAATTCTTAATTCTTAAAAAATTACTATATTTGAATTATCGCTCTAATTTAATAATATATTCTATTTAGTTTTTTACTTCAAATCACCGGGGTGATCATCATAGTTGACCAGAATTATCAATTTTTACCGGCACTATATTTTTTAATGCTGGTCGATCGTCAGTCACCGGTGATCATCACCCCCGGTGATAGAAAAAAAATGTTTACCAACAAACAAATTCTACCCAACAGCTAAGAATGCTTTCATTCTTAATAAATATTTGTATAAGGCACAAGTTACTATTAGCATTGATATGGACTATTTCATTTTTGGTAGACAAATTATTTACATGTGATATTGTTTACTAATCAACTGAATGCATAAAATTTCACTGCGCTTATCATATTTAATAATTTTATTTATTATTATGACAATTAATTCTCAATCTGCATTGTTTTACGTGCATTTCATTAGATCGCTTTTGAACATATAATCTTATCACATATAAATGATCACTGAATTAATTGATGGACACAATATACATTTTGTTTTGTGTTTATTTCATTCATAATGAAAAAAAAAAAATCTTTTCAAATGGAAAAAAAAAATGACCACATCACCCCATACCGCATATTCGCATTTCGCCGAATATCTACCAAAAACCGACTTTCAAGTTAGCCAAAAAAGAATTTTAATATAAGGTAAATAATTATATATGGTTATGCTGAACGAAGGACCCTATTTGAATATTTACATAGGGACTGCAGATCACGTAATTTGTCAAAAAAAATAATTGGAGAAAATAAATAGTACTAATTGATTGCTTATTTATTTATTTTTTCACTTATTCAATAAAATAATCACAAAGAATAATAGTTGGTACATTTAAAGTTTTGCCAATAAGAATGTTTTAATATCAACAAAAGAAGAATTTACGCCTTTCAAATAATTATAATAATTATTTGCTGTCGCATTGATGTATAATAATATCCCTTTGTAAAATATTTTTTACTTTTAATTAATTAGCAGATTGGACATTGATAATTTAAACTTTAAAACTGTGCAACAATGGAAATGTATGAAGTACATTAGTTACACAAAATGTTTGTGAAAGTTACATAAGTATATTACATAAGTGAGGTCATAATTTTTTTTAAAAATGATTTATTTACGTCTTACAAATCTACTTTGATACTTTTTTATTAGGAATGTTCTTTAAAAAAATGAATTTTTCTAAATTAAAAAGGATATATTTTATCAAACTATCCTGTCATCCAGTGATGAACATATGGCTATACTAATTTTCGCCCCTAGTTCCATTGTAAACCGGGTCCGATTGATCAACATCTGGAATTTTTTGATTTGTAATCATTGTAATCATTTGTAACCTTGTAAAAAAAGCTAATCCGTTTTTTATATTCCATCTTTTTTCCGTAATAGGCCCATATTTCCGGAATTAATAACCTTATATCGCGGAATTTATCGAATTATTCCATTTCCGGGAATGGATCCGTGAAAGGTTCATTTTTACGGAGTTTTACGGAAATAACGGATAAAATTTTATAGGATACCCATATCTTCTTCCGTCATTACGTGGAATCAGAGCTAATTCCACATCGGATCCTGGGGCGAAAATTAGTATAGCCGAACATATTTCGTTAGAATCGTTATAACAAAGACGAGCCGAATGACGGTTGTCCCACATCTCTAGTTTCGGCGCAATGACGTGAAATGTAAATGCCAAATTGTTAAATAACTCGCCACCTAATTTTTTTATGATTGTGTTATTTTGTCACTACGATTATGTCCAAATTTTAGCCCAAATTTTATCCCAAATCGGAATTTTCAATAGAATACCACAAATTCCAAATTTGTCATTGCAGATATTGCAGATTACGCCAAACCCCTACGGTCATTCAACTCGAATATACATATATATACATATTAAAAAAAAATGCCAAATTGGTTCGGCTGCAGCCAAATGACAACTCCGAGAAATCCGAGTCATAGATAGTTTGATGACACAGAAACCAGCCAGTTATGAATAAATGTTGAATTGTGTGATTGTACAATTAGCTATGACTTTATGATTACGTGAAACGACTGGAACGTGCGAATTTTGATTCAAAACGGAAATTCAAAATGACTTCCGATTTTGCACGTGACATTTTATTATATTTATATAAGTGCAACTGTAATTTGGTATCGTCAATTTGACAGCGCCTACCTTTCTAAAATAAAAATAAAAAAATAAAAAAATAAGTCATCGTTACTAATTTGCACATCTCTTTGAAAACGACCACGATGAACGATACATCTAACAGTAACGTTAATAACAGTTTTACAATTTCCCATATTTCCGATGATCTTAATCTTCAGCAGCAGCAGCAATATTATCAGCAACATATATCCAATATCTCAAGCACTATTCCTCCTAATTATACTAGTCATCCTCAACATTATCAGCAAACCTCATCCAACATTTCTTCAAGCACTATTCATCCTAATCATAATGATCGGAATCATCGGATTCATCTGCAATATGAAGCTTTAAATAATAATCAACAATCCACACCCAACAATAATAATACTATTCCTCCTGATAATAGTCAAGAGCAATATGATGCGAATAATATTCCTCATCATAGTTATCGGCAATCATCCACGTTCGAAAACGTATCTCCTCCAAGATGTTACTCAAAAACTATTAATCAAAATAATCCTCGACAATGTATTATCTTTCAAAATGATACAATACATCACCAGACAAATGCTTTTTATGATAACGCAACAAATAATTCAGTATTTATGCAATTTTGTTTTGATTCTTCTTTGACAAGTAACCCACAACCCCGATCTCAACAATAAATTCTTGAATTAATCGTGCTCGACATGTATATATATCCCAATCGGGATTTATCTACTTTTACTATTATATTCTTTATTTATTTCATATTTTTGTTTATCTTCGTCGTATTTTCGTATGCAGCAATAAAACCAATGTATTCTATTTCTAAAATTTTTTAAATAAATGTAATATTGGTCTTAATATTTATATTATTATAATGGATAAATTAACTTTTTGATATTATGAAATTTTATTTGTCTTCAAAAAATTTTACATCTGGAATTAATTAACCGAAATTTCTGGCACTGACAATGGTTACGTATTATGTTGTAATACTGTCACCGTATTTGTAAACACCATTGGGTATACGTAATAACTATAAATGTAGATCATTTTCTGCACGTCGGTATACTCCGATTGGCTCCGTGATTGCATCGATTAGTAATTTCTATTAAACCAAAAACATATGGAATGAAAGCTAATTGATTTTATTGATCGCAAGAAAAGAATAGCACCAGCCATTGTTATATGCGTAGCCTATCAGATAATAGGACTGACATAATAATTTACTAATGTAGTTTTATAATTTTATTATATGATAAACACGTATAAGTCGTGTAACTAATCAATTTTCTTTAAAATGTGCGACCTAAAGTTTTGTATACCCACCCCCTAAAATATTATCCTACTAAGACTTAATTATGTAATTACGGAATTATACGCAGTTGACGTACGATTTTGTACAACTTTATCGCCAAAATTTTCATTCCTACTTACAGCTGTAATAAAATCGGATAAATTAACATGGGATAGAAGATAACAAGATTTTTTACGGTTTTATCTGTTATCGTATAATATTATAAAAATTTTCTTAAAAAATGGTAGAATTATGGTTAAAACTTAGTCACATCCAACCGTACTAATCTGGGAACTTAAAAAATCTCGATTTTAAATGTGAATCCTTTTTTTTTATTGATTTATCAGTCTATGATTAAATAAAATTGTTAACTACTAATTATTATTTTATTAATTAAACTGACTATTATTTTTTTCTCGTTGATTAGATTATATAGAAGCTGTTTTATTGTTTTTTTATAAACGAACGATGAAGGAATAATATTACCATAGAAATAAATTAATACTTTAAAATCGCACTCATTCATAACCTGATTAATTATTTTACCAGCTTCAGCTTCAATAATATCAAACATTAAATCTTGTACTGATAAAATGAGATCTTAGAGATTTGAGAACATTTGGTTAAGCATCGCTGATACGTATATATTTGTGTTGTATAATGAATGGAGTTATTTTGTTACAATTTCTAGGGTTATGGAATATATAATAGCGGTACCTCTTGGTAACAAAATAGGTCATGATACAATTTTTTTGTTAAATAACCATCTTTACGCCGTATACAATATAATAATGATATATTACATTATAAAATAGATTTTTTTTTTTGCATAGTTAATTTATGAGAAATCTAAAAGAATCGTGCTGATTTTTGAAGGTTTCAAGTAAACTTACATATCCAATATTAGAGATCGGGGTTAAACTCATTGGCGATCTTTGTAATATTTCTGTTATTCCAGGATTGTTATTAGTTATGACTTATGGCTGTAAATGTAACTTATCGTAGCACTAAAATTACTAAGTCATTATAATTGATGTTTATTGTTGATCCGCAAATGAACGATGTTGATAATTGACGTTTATTGTTGAATTTATTGTTTGTTTTAATTGTTGATCTCTTGGTACGAAACCCGAAACGTCAAAATCCCGAATTGCCATAATCCCGACATTTCATAAGAGCTCGAAATTCAAAATACCGAAATGAAAAATCTTGAAAATTCATTAAGAAAAGAAAATCAGTATGATTATGGGTGTCGAGATTATGACAATTCGGGATTTTGACATTTCGGGATTTAGATGTCGGGATAATGTACCTTCGGGATTTCGAGTTTCGGGATTTTGGACGGATCCCGCAAAAAAAATATTGGGTCCAACTTTACAGATTGAAGTTGAAAATATAAGATCAATTGAGATTTATTATAATATAAATAAATTTGTTAAAAGTTTTATTCATATCTAACAAAAAAATTTGCAAATTAACTTTAATTTTTTTGTTAAAGAATTAAATAAACTTAGTGTAATTACTGAGAAATGAACAATCTCATTGTTTTTACGGTGAAATGAGCATTCTCGTAATACAACTTATGGTATATTCTAAATGGTCATTTCAAGGACCTTTTTGATGTTTTTTTATATACTGTGTTTTCTCGTGCATTCAAGAGAGCGTGAGATTACAAAATGTTTTAAGCATTACGACATGATTTAAACGGTTAAAGTTGTTGATATATTTGTCATAATCACATGACAACATAATCATGAGTCTTATAAATATCACATAAAATTTTATTTTATACATCTTTTCTCTTATTCACGTTTATCACCGTCTCTCACTCATTTCTTTCTTCCTGTCATCTCTCTCACCTTTCTTCTTCTTCCCTTTCCAGCCTTTACTGCAGTCTCATGGTTGTGAATTTTTTGGTGCGGTATAGTACTGTGCAATTAGAGCATAGACGCTTGCTTTAAGTAAGCTCGTGGATACCAGCTTATTCATTGCTGCAGTCCTGGGATGAGATTGGATTAATGTGGAACTGCATAGTGCTGTGCGATAGTTTTACAGGGTGGAGCATAGTGGCATAGTGCACTTCTTCTTAGGAAGTCCCTTTGTGGTAGGGCTGGAGTACGTTGTCATTAATATGATAATTAAAATAGCAAGTTTTCGCTCAATGCAAATTTTCCACTTTATAATTCGGTGATGGCAAATGACCAGGTCATTTGGCCATTTTGAAATGACCTCTGAATGACCTTCATTTGAGTCATTTAGAATTAATTCAGGCCAAATTTATGATGCCGGCCAGAATTACAAATTTATATTATCACGTGATATAACTCATATAAGTTATCTCGAAACAATGAAATTACATAGATAATTTTGGCCGGAATTATTTTATAATTCATATCATTGACCAAATGACACGTGACCAGTCACTGGGTCAATAAATATGATTAAAACTTTATTCTGAGAGTGAATAATAACATGTTTAACATGATTTTAAAATGAAGTGTTCTTAATCTAATATATTCATAGCTAATAATAATTATATAGGGTTCTAGACATATACGTTTTCCATCATAATTAATTCTCTTTTTATTTTTTTTTTTAATTTACTGATAGTTTATTTGTTAATAAAAATCTTGCCCGCTCACGAATCCCAACAAAATATTTTTAATTAATTTTGGCAATTACGATCTAATATTTAACTTGCAATGGGCAGAATACAAGACATCATTGGTCGTCATCGTAATACAGTATATTATTATTGAGTTTCGATCCGTATTTATTTTTTGAATTCGGATTGGTATAAAGTTTTTATCGTACGTATACATTACCGAAAAAATAAGTTCAGCTCTTTGAGTGTACTAGTGTACTTGAAAGCTTAAATAAATTAAACACGCGTGATAATAAATTTGGTTTACAGCTATTTGCAAAAATAACGGATCCCCAATTCATTTTTGCCCCGATATACCACCATAGATGTTACTAGTGACGTTGGAGTTTCATACGCAGTCATGCGCACAAGAGCATAATTGATCTGGCCAAATTATAAATTTCCATTTAGGATTAGTTGTTACACAAATTCGAAAAAGGAAATCTTCATTTTTTGGAAAAAACAAGATTTGATCGGCATAGCGTTGTTATAATTCTGGCCAAAATTGTATTTGGCCAGAATTACTGCCGATCAATAATTTTTGCAAATAGCGGATAATGAACCGGATATAATAAATCCGGATGAAACCGAAGCAACTGTTTAGTAATAGCAATTCATCAGTTATTTGTTTCTTAAGCTTGATGAAAATTAAAGTCTTTTCATACGCTAAACTATTAATTCTCAGAAACAATGTCTTTGAAAAATTTTTTAAACGCAATTATTTTAAAGTCATGAAAATTTATGTGTTTTAAAAATATTTTCAAAGCTTCTTTACACGCTCCTGTAATCATAACTACCATTTTCATTCGCTTCAATGAAACCAATCTCTTATTTCTTTATGTTTGATATTGACCAAGATAATATTATGTTTAGGACTTAGACTGTTCTTTGATTCATGTACTGTTATATCTATTCAAATACTGTACATAGTCTTTTTCATTAAAATAAAAAAAAAATTCATTTAATAATATAGTAGCGTTTTGCGTTTTACGTTAACAGTTAATACTAATCAAATAATTCAAATTATATAATTAAGACCCGTTACTGCGCCACATCATTTTTAAAATTATACACTTAATGCTTAATTGGAAATTTTTTTAATAAGATAGATTCTGGATTTTGATTGTCAAAGATTTCAGGATTTACGACTAATCTGGATTGGTGTCGGGTGATATTCCCAAAATCCTGACAATCATAATATATCGACAGTCTATAATCCCGAAATTCCGATAAATGCAAATCCATAGTCAGATCTAAATTCTTGACAGTCTTAACCTTATAATGGTGTAGTTAGCTGAAAAATTCAGCCGAAGGCGCAGTAAATTTTCGGCTAACAACACCCAGCCGAAAAAAATTCATGTTGATCTTGAATATTTTATTGGTTCAACATATAACTATTTTTCGGCTGAATATTTTCGGCTAAATACACTTCTTTTAAATAATAGTGTAGTTAGCCGAAATATCCAAATAGCAGTCAATATGAAATAATGACAAAATTTTATTTATTATAGAAAACAAGAAGTACATAACATTACTATACTTATTATTGGACAGTGCATTATTTTTAATTAAATAAAACCACAAAATATTTGTTATTTTTAACTCATTTATTTCTGTCCAATCATACTTCAATATTAGATTTTTAGTAATTTAATTGTAAAAAAGAAATATTTTTAATGTTTAATTGTTCTTTAAATTAATGAATAGTTTATTTAACCATTAAAACTATAACAATACAATTATACAAATAAAATAAAAAAGGGAAATTTTTTTAAGGGATTTGAATTGTATTTGAAAGTATACATAC